AGATGACGCACTGCGTGTGATAAAATTCTTAGAATTGGAATAAAAACAAAACCGATAACAAAGCTTTTTTCCGTAGTATTGTGTAGCAGTATAACAAAATAACTTGCCCCATATTCGGCCACAAATTTCCAGTTAAAATATTTTTCATTTTGGCAGAAATGCCCGGTCAGAGTGTCCGACCAGGCTAAGCTTTTACCTGTCAAAACCTCAAATTTACCGGACAATTGTCCGATGACCGACTGTTATTTGCAGGCTTGCTCTCCAGTCGCTTGGACGTCTCCTGATCTAGGCCGCCGTGGTCTTGTCGGTTGGTCAACTGGCAATTGTGTTCCCATAAAAGGATAGAAAGCCTCTACATGCAAAGGTTTACCATCAATGAATTGGTCGTTCTTGGAAGATCTCTTAACACCTGTTGAGAAGAAAGAAAGCTATAATAAACTATGTAACTGTAGAAAATTGGATACATGGATAGATATATCAGCGATTCTAACGCTTTAAATTGGCACGAGCACTTTCTGCTGTTAACTTAGCATTGAGAAGGCTCCTCGACAAAAGGACTACTGAGCGACACACAGCCTTAATTTGAACGTACGTCACATATCGCAAACAAGCCTCTACGCCGCCTTCTTAAGATAATTTAATGACTAAATCTGCGATTAATTTAGAGATCATGAGCAGAACTATGACCGAGAATTTTCAAGTTTCTAAATGGATTTGCATGCTGTCTCCTTATATTGAGGGAAAGGATAGTTCTGACATAGAAAGAAGAAATGATTGAATCTAGATATTAGCGAGATCCATTTGAACCATAAGAAAAATGTAAATCCACTTGTCAAACGAAACTGCCCTCCTTGTTACTTTTCTGTAAAAACATGGCTTAACCAAACATGAATTGAGTGCTTGATCATCGTAACTTGGTTTCAAGGTTCCTTTTTCAAGACTAGACCGATTCGGCTAACGAGTTTACATCCTTGTTGTCACTCAATTCACATCATGTGATGATTCATTTGGGAGGTTACAATTGTTCTGTTTGTACATACCCTCATGCACTCAGTTACGTGTGACAAATTGCAGAATTGTACCCTCCCAAATGAATAATCACGTGATTTGAATTGCGTAGCAACAAGGATGTAGACACGTTACTCGAATCCGTCTTTCGTGCCCAGAAACTGGCTTTATTCATAAGGCCATAATCACAATTTTATCTACTTTCTTTTACTTACTTTTCTTTTCTTTGAAATACACAATAGCTCTCTTGTCCTTCCCTTCTTCGTCCCAGGCTGGATTGACGACAACGTTCTTCAAGGCTCCGATTTTGTCAAAGTACGTTTCCACTTGCTCTTTTGACGTTTTTTCCGAAAACCCGCTGACATATATGCTTTTACATTCTGGGGCTCTTTCAATTAATACGTGTACACCATCAAGAGGCCTTTTCGCCGCTTCTCTGAGAATCCTCGCGAAATCTGAATACGTTACCAATGCGATGTTTGTTAATATTAAGCCAGGATGGTTAAGACTAGAAAAGATATCTTGAGACCGATTACATACATGCACACTTTACTAAACGTCACCAATGTGGCCATTATGAGATTACGAATGACTAAGTTGACAAGTTTTCTCGATTTACATTCAATCAAAAAGGCATTTTCAGCATTTTTAGTGACCCAATGATTTACGCCCTTGGCAACGATGATTTTAAATCCCAAACCATTATACTTTTTTCAGTTGGATATTCAAGCAGTTTTTGTCTGATGTATCATTTTTGTTCCTTCAGGCTATCCCGTTTTTTCCGTTTTGCGTCAAATGCGTTTCCTGATTTTGGGTCGGTCGAATTAAGAAAAAAGCCACCCTACTAGGAAGCCCGGTACAGCAGCATAATTGCCGTGGAGCTTGAAAACAACAAGAAGTGATTACAAATCAACATAGCGGCAATTATAGAAATCAACCGACGTGGAAAAAAGGAAGAACCGTCCATAAATGGTTAAAATGCATTAAGATGTGCCGTCAATCTGCAATCTCAAAGTTAATTACCTTCCTCATTAGATTTTCTATTTAAAAACGCGAAAATAGGCGATTTGCATGATGGCGTCATTTGACTACAACTACCAGAATCCTTCACTTTGTCTGTTCCTTATGTTAATTAGGGCAATTGTTATTTAATCCCCTCTGGGAATTCAAAATTTAAATAATAAAGAAAAAACGAAAGGAATTCTGGTAGTTATAGTCAATGACGACAACGTGCAAATCTGCTATTTGGGTCGGTTAACCGGTGGAAAGGGGAGGATCCTTAACGTCGTCAGGGTAACTGTTTACCTGAAATTTTTTCAGTTTGCAGTGTAACGATGGCTTTTCCATTTGGCTGAAACCACTTCACGTGCTTTACATCATAACCGCTAATTCTCTCGATGTAGTTCTCTATTCCCTCAGGTGTGGTCCTGCGGTGCAAACCTAATACGTACAACTTGTTCCACTCGTACTTTATGTTTGGCTGTGTAAATCCTAAGGATACAGGGTCGCGGGGCCCAGCTCCTGGTTGGTAAGTGGGTCCTGTTGCCAAAAAAGCCAAAATAACCTTGTCATTTCGTGTTAACACTCGCGCGAATACCATGAGATTTCACGACATGTTTACAGGACAATAATAGTGTATTATGGTTTGTCTCATGACAGACGAGGTTGGACACGCGCCGAACTGCATTATGGTAGAGGTAATTAACCAATCCGGAGCGTGTATTTTCTTGCAAGTCGATTCGGAAGGAATCGTCGCTCGGGGGATGAAGAGGATTTCTTGAGGTGTTTTCTCGGCATTAACGAGTTAAGTGATCCAGTTGCTTAAAGGAAAAGAAAGGTAAGGGTCTAAAGATTTAAGTTTTCGCTTTTTTCGACCATTTTGTCGAATTTTCCTGTCACTATTGGGATTCAATTGTAGGGGAGTCCAAAATGGCGGATCGTGGTCACGATTTACGGTGTGTATAAAAGGCAACCAATTCTTGCTCTGAAACAATGGAGTTTTCAACCATTGTTGTTCTAGAATAGGTATAGTTTGTTTCTAAGACGTCGCACCCCATCGCACCTCCTACCGTTTTCTCGCTATATTCGTCTAAAGTTTGACATTTTTTGGCGGTAAACAAGAGAGCACTATTGTCAAACACTATGGGAAACTTAGCTGTTTTCAGGGTATTGTTTCTTTTTAACTCGATTTATATTTTTGCGGCTGTAAGATTACATTGATGTTATTATTTTTACGTCTGGTGCCTAGTAGATTACTGTGTTTTTACAGATTAATGTTACTCAACGAGGCTATTGACCTTGAATTATTCAAGATCAATAGCCTTCTTGTAATTTATGTTGCATCATTTATCTAGGCATAGCTCAATATTTCTTTACAATTGTTGTTCTCAACAGGGATCAGAGTTCACACAATTGATTTCCTTGTGGATATTTAATAGCTGGTGTTTTAACCAGGAGCTGTGGAATGAAAAGAGATAGTCCATCTTCAATGTCTCTACTATGTTGTAGCTTTGTGTATGCTTCATGAGTTTTCCTTTATGAGGAGAAAAGTTCTAGTATCAATGATTTACTTTCATGTTTTGGAAAACTGTTCTCCAAAACATGAAACTACCAGTTTTAGACTGTAATGTAGTGTTGATAATAAAATAATTTCAATTAAAAAAATTGCTTTGTATTGTTTTGTTTCTGTAATGTACAGCTACACTGTATTTGTTTGTTGTCATCTTTTTTGCCTATGTGCATGTGTTATGTACCTATCTCATTTTGGTTTAAGGCCCAGTGCAAAATCATCACTTTTGTGGTTGTCCAGAATCACTGAATGATGATTGGTGTTTTCTGAAAGGACAGCCCAGATTGTCAATGCAATTGAGGCCCAAGATAAACCCTAAATAATAGTCAACTCAAGGTTTTTTGTCAAATACTGTGTAAATCTTACAACTTCTTATCGTTGTTATGGTAACTATTCGGTCCTGGGTCTATAAACTTTATGGCATTAAACAAAGACAATGTGAAACCAGTCCTCAGTCAATATTGAAACTCTGGATTACAATAATGTTAAGTTTTCTTTCAAAAGGTTATTCTTAGGCTCATCTAGACACAAAAATCGCTTTCCAACCCTAATATACAGATAAAGTGGTGGGATAGCTTGTTCCAATAATTGTCTTTTTTATACTAAGAATGAACTGTAGTGTAAATGGGCCTTGAATACGAGCATGGTAATCACTGTTTTGTTGCAAAATTATTTGATGCCCTATTCTCTCCAAGGACGGACCAGGATTTTCATTTCAAAGCAAAGTGACCATTTCAGAACTTTGGTGTGGTATGGCTGCCTAGACTCAATTTTATTATAATATTATAACATTTTTCCAGCTACTGAAAGATGTATAATTTCAGTTCACTGATAATTACAACATTTTTTTAGCTACTGAAAGGTGTATAATTTCAGTGCACCGATAATTGGGTACATGCAGTGATACACTAGTAAGCAACCATTCCTTGTGACAAACCATAATACCCTCATCATTTATGAAAATATCTTCTGCTCATAATATATCAAGGACCACCCTTTGGGATGCCTACATGTCCTAGCTAGAGTGTGTTTGTCATCACATTGAGCTTTCTCTCTCACACATTGTGAACTAACCAACTATGATATTGGAATTTTGTGAAAATATGCAAAAACAATATTCATTGCCACAAAATTTTAAATAATTCATAACAGTTAGATGTAAAGCCTGCTTTCTCAGTTAATTAATTGAGTATTTCACTTCTGATGATGACCTGTTTGACAGGTATTTTTGCAAAGTGTTCCAAATCATACGATAGTTTCACTCCATTGACCAGTAATGAGAGAGGAGTATACAGACAATTTTTTGGTAGTACAGTAAGGTGCTGCACTATAATCTCAGGCTATGATACATATATAACATACGTTGACACAGTGCACCAAAAGTCTGACAAATTCCGAGTAAATAAACTATACCTTTTCAGTTCACTGTTAAATAATAGAGTACAATTTTCGAGCCATAGGCAAAAATGTAAACAATAACACGCAGTCAAAACAAATTGCATTCAAGCTTTCGTATGCTGAATATATTATTGGCTGACAAGCGTAAAGCTGCAGTACTCGGGAGAACGATTGTTCAAGTATCGATATAAGATGTTACAAAGTGGCAGGATATATGGAGGAAATAGATGCAAATATCCATCTGTGTGTGTAGTATTGATCAGTCGATCGCACGTGGACTCATCTTCGCTCTGGGATTCGATCGCAAAAAACCCCCACGTTTTCAGTCTTCATCGATCAAAA